TAGGTTGCGTCACGTTGCGTGCTCTTACAATATCTAATTAATGAGTAATAATACATTTTGCGAGTGCAAGTTAGTCTTCATTAATGTTTAATTTCAAACAAAAACCTTAAAAAAAATTACACTGGCAAAAGTGAGTCACAGGCAAGAATTGGATTTAACAGATTTTTCATAATGACTCTTCGAAGGTTCAGTCAGCAGCACTCAAAGGATCGCGTCAACCCTTGTGTACTACGGACCTGAGAGTAGACCTGACGAATTTAGTTAAAGAAATTGGACATGCCAGTGTATACGGGGTTTAACCCACTGAATTTTTCCACCCCTACAACTCCTGTATAGCCAGGATCTACAGCTTAGTCTCCAACTCAAACCTTACCAGTGAAGGTAGCTAATCGTTTTGGAACCCGCAACGAATTTAATCAGAAGAATATAGGAGGAGTTCGAAACATGCTAGTGTAACGTAAGTGCGCCTATTAACGACCCCCCAAAATTTGTATCCTATTACCGCCCTATTTTTCTTTCTTTCATAAAAGACATAATAACAGGTTCCAGAAAACACGTTACCTAATATTATATCTAGATATGTTTATTGACTATCAAAACGATTAAAGTTTGTGTTCGTAAATAACCAGTAAACGGAGTTATTTGACATTAAATGGGACGCGCCCGCAACGGACGCACTTTNGACGACACATCACCAAATAATTCGTCATACCTACACAAGTAAGTATACTATCACCAAACAGGCTCATTTTTTTTTACTTAAAAATGTCAAAAGTTAAATAAAATTCTAAAAAACTTACTTAATTTTATACCTTCTCACCAATGATTTCAAATGTTGGCATACAAAATTACTCACAAATAGTGTGCTGTAGTTAAATCTACCACATACTTGCCTTACTGCTTAATTAGTACTAGTAGCTGCTATTTCTAAACAACGACAATGATTTTATTTCAACCAGTTTTTGCCCAAGTGGTGAAGGAAAAGGGAAAGATAAATATTTTAAGACCCTTAAAATGTATCGTGTCCTCAGATCATAGAAGCACAAGAAGGGACATTATACATTAATGCCCGTTTTCACCATCAATCCCTAATTTTTAAGTGACCCCTATGAAAACAAAATTCCTGTATGTGTTACCATAGGGATCACTTAAAAATTAGGGATTGATGGTGAAAACGCGGATATGGGTCTTAAATACTTTATCTTTCCCTTTTCCTTCTAAGGTATGCTGCGTGAAAACATCGTGAAAATCATTTTCAACATTATATCGCGTCAAAAAATCTAGATGTTTCTGCTAATAAACGTAATATTTATACATCAAAATTTAAAAAGTGAACTCTTCAAGGCATTCTCATTCATACTTTTTCTGTATTCCCGGAAGTAAAGATTAACCTATATTCCTCTTTAATTAACACACTTACTTATCTAGCTGGGTCGGAAGTTTTATCGGCTATCCGCCTTGTGTCTTGAGACTTGACTCACAATTGAGTGATAAAGGTCCAAAGTGTGATTATATCGAACGCATCCGGGAACTAAACACCTACCTACAAGGTTGCGTATAAAATAATTACACAATAATTCGAAATAAAAACTTTTTTAAAATAAATTAAGATTTTTGGTTGCATTGTAATTGAAATAAAGATTGGCTAAGTGCGTGTCGTGCCACGTGCAGTCAGGGTTCCGTAGTAGCCCGTCGTTACCACAATATATTTCAGAAGCAAGCAATTTTTTCATCTAAAGTCACTTTTTTTTAAATTTTTATTAGGTAAGAAATTTTATAATACATGAGTTAAAAGACTATTACCTACTCTTAAACTAAGTAATCTATCTTAACCGTTACAGTTTTCCTTGAAAGTTCATAAAAAGCACTATTATCATGAATTTTTCCAGATTTTTTTAAACCAACAGTTTAGTTTTTAGAGGGGGGACGCCCTACTCGAACAAAAATTGGCACTTTAAACTTTAATAATTTGCAAACAGATCCCTAAATGGAAAAATAGCCTTAGAAACCCCTAAGCCATTTTAAAAGACCTATCCAACGATATCGCACACGATGGGGTAGAAGATGAAAAAAAAATTCATCCCCACTTTACATGTAGGGAGCCACCCTAAAAAAATTTTTTTTTCAAAATTTTATTTTACCGTTTTGTCAGCGTGAATAATAAACATACCTCCACAAAAAAATTACAGCTCTCTAGTGCCAATAGTTTCCAAGCAAAACCTCGGACAGACAGACATATTATTATTTATTTATTTAGGTACAGCAACAGAATACAATTTATTAGTTTTTATAAATAATTTAGATAACAAAAACTCTGTCGGCCGTTTGGTGTAGTGGTTCGAAACGGACTACTATTCCGGAGGTTGCGGGTTCGATTCCCGCACAGTACAAACATTTGTGTGCATGAACATATTTGTTTGTATTGGACTGGGTGTTTTCTATGTATAATATACCTATGTATGTATTTACAAAAAAAAAGTATTAAAGTGTGTTTATATCCGTTGTCTAGTAGTACCCATAGACCCATAGTACAAGCCTTGCTTAGTTTGGGACTAGAAACGCAGTGTAAAATGTCCAAGGATATTTATTTATTATTATTATTTATAATTTATTAAAAAGGGTACATCAAATAAATTTGCACTCCAGCTATAGCTATACACGACATTTGCTAGTATCAAAACTAAAAGGGTTCCTTGCAGGACTACGGAACCCTAAAAATAATTCACTTTCCTTGCTCGAACCCTGTAGAGCAGTGTTTTTCAACCTTTTTCATGACACGACCCCCCTAGTATGAAAAAATTTTTGGCGACCCCCCTACCGTTCGCGATTTTTTTCCATGACTTTTATAATGTTGCAAAGATGTTTGTAGGGACCGAATACTTTAATCCATAAAACATTTGCATAATTAGATTTCGGATTAATCTATCTTTATAAGAATTTTCCTTTACTGAAGTAGTTTTTACGACCTCTCGCGACCCCCCTATAGAGGCTTCGCGACCCCCCGGGGGGTCGCGACCCCCCGGGGGGTCGCGACCCACAGGTTGAAAAACACTGCTGTAGAGTGACGGTTACTTTATTGTAGTTACTGAGCCAGTTTATTTTGGAAAAAAATTATGGTCCCTTTAGGAACGCTCTAGGGTTCCTTAGTCCTGGACTGGACAAGGAACCCTTATAGTTTCGATATGTCTCTGTCTGTCTGTCCGAGGTTTTGCTAGGAAACCATTGGCACTAGGGAGCTGTAATTTTGTGGAGATATGTATATTAATCACGCCGACAAAACGATAAAATAAAATTAAAAAAATTTTTTTTTTGGGTAACCCCTACAAGTAAAGTGGGGATGATTTTTTTTTTCATCTTCTATCCCATCGTGTGGGGTATCGTTGGATATGTCTTTTAAAATGGCTTAGGGATTTCTAAGGCTATTTTTCGATTTAGGGATCCGTTTGCAAAATATGAAAGTTTAAAGTGCCAATTTTTGTTCGAGTACCTAGGGCGTCCCCACCCCCTCTAAAAACTAAACCGTTGGCTTGAAAAATCTGGAAAAATTCTTAATAATACTGCTTTTCATGAACTTTCAAGGAAAACTATAGCGGTTAGATACATCAGTTTAGTTTAAGAGTAATAGTCATTTAACTCATGTATTATAAAATGTAAAAAAAAACATAAATCTAAAACTATCAAAAGTCGCAGTGATTGGGGTCGCGGTGACTGCCTAAGATGGAAGAGCAGTCGCCCGGCAATCTAAAGGTCGTGGGTTCGATTCCAGCCTTAGGCAGTTCGATTTTTTTAAGTTGTTTATTATGTACTAGCGGCCGCCCGCGACTTCGTACGCGTGGATCCCGTTTTACCCCCTTCATCTATCTTACGCTGTTTAGACATTTCATACAAATGTTTTTTCCCGCTAACTCCCGTTCCCGTGGGAATTTTGCAATATCCTGTTGTAACTAAGCTTTAAGTTTACTAAGGTACCTGCATGCCAAATTTCAAGCGTCTAACTTAAGCGGTTTAGATTTTTCATACAAAAGGATTTTCCCGCTAATTCCCGTTCCCGTGGGAATTAGGAGAATTACTTTTTGTAACTAAGCTTTAAGTTCACTAAGGTACCTACATGCCAAATTTCAAGCGTCTAACTTAAGCGGTTTAGATTTTTCATACAAAAGGATTTTCCCGCTAATTCCTGTTCCCGTGGGAATTCCTAAGTATACTATAACCTGCCCAGGAGTATGAGAATAATTGTACCAAGTTTCGTTAAAATTCGTCGAGTAGTTTTTGTTTCTATAAGGAACATACAGACGGACAGACAGACAGACAGACAAAAATTTTACTGATTGCATTTTTGATATCAGTATCGATCACTAATCACCCCCTGATAGTTATTTTGAAAATATATTTCATGTACAGAATAGACCTTTCTACAGATTTATTATAAGTATAGATAATTTCAATAAGACTTTCTTGTCTAATCTACTATAGATTCAGTTGCAATTGCATTTGACCAATGAGGGCTATCGTTTTTATACTTAACAGTTGGCACCCCTGGCGATTGACAGGACCTTACTCTACAGTGGCGCCATCTTGATGAGTGCAAATGCGATAGTCCTCCTACCACTTTCGCGCTCACCAGTTGGTGCCACTGTCTTCGCTACTAGCAAGTGACAGGACCTTACTCTACAGTGGCGCTAACTGGTGAGCGCTAAAACGATAGCCCTCATTGCAACAGTTAAACAGATGGAATCGTCTATTGATAACACTTATAAGGTATAAATGAACTGATGGTGTCAACGCCTCTATCAACAATATCTTTTTCTCGGGTGTTCAATAGTAACCTCAAGGGGCCTTCAAGCGATAAAATATACTTTACTTATGTCATATTCTAATTAGAATGATGACCTAATTATAAGATGTCTCTATAGTTTACCTCCGTCTCGGTCGTCTCAAAACTAATAGATAACCTTTTACAGCAATTAATCCATTTATTAAACAAAACGAACAATCAGTTCACGGCGTAGTCAAATCGGGTAAACATCTCGTGCAGTCAATAAAAAATAAGAATTAAATCGAATGTCATTTGAATATCGCGCGAAAATAACCGTTTCTGAAATGGCGGAAAATGGAGAGGTTTACAAGAAATCCTTTAACGGGACGTGCACCCTCGGGGTGAACAAAAAGGTGAAGAGTTCCATCGCCCAAAGGGCAGAGGCGTACATGCAAGCAGTTAGCAAAAGCCAAGGATTGCCGGAAAAAGGTAAAAAAGTTTACGAGTTTTCAGCAGTTTCGGTTTTTAGATTTTCATGTACTTTTTTGTTAGATTTCATCAAGTTAGGCTCTGAAACGAACATAGCCGCGTTGTAGAATGCCGTTAGGAACCTAATTACGAGTTTTCAGGAGTTTAGGTCGTTACTATTTAATACTAAATTAATGAAAAGTTTGAATAAAACTTCATTTTATTAAAATTATTGGAAACTAGCTTTCCGCCCGCGGCTTCGCCCGCGTGGAATTTTGTCTGTCACAGAAAAACTTTATCGCGCGCGTCCCTGTTTCAAAAACCGGGATAAAAACTATCCTATGTTCTTTCCCGGGACTCAAACTATCTCTATGCCAAATTTCATCAAAATCGGTGGTTGCGAGGTTTAAGCGGGAAAGCGTAACAGACAGACAGACAGACAGAGTTACTTTCGCATTTATAATATTAGTTGGGATTAGTTGGGATTGGGATAAAATAAAAATATTTCTTTGCTTGATATTTTTTTTGGAGAAATTACTAGTTACTTTGCTTTGACACAAAAACTTTCGTTAATTCGTTCAAATATCTAACAAAGTTTCAATAAGCTTACTCAAATGCAGTCTTATGATATGAATGACATAGAACTGAGAATCTCCTTTTTTAAGTCGGTTAAAAAGGAGATTGATAACCACCATCAATTAAAGTATTTTGAATGTTCTTGAAGCCATGCTGTTATCACAGGTAGGTAGGTATATTGATGTTGTTGATGTTGCTTACATTATACCTGGTAAATATAAAAACAATCGATAGTTTCATTAAAAATAAAACGGGCAGTGAATGATAACAGTGATATAAGTAATTGCGTTATTTATAGGTTGCGTCACGTTGCGTGCTCTTACAATATCTAATTTATGAGTAACAATACATTTTGCGAAGTGCAAGTTAAGATATTTTCATTAAGACTTTTCATTAATGTATAATGTTAAGAAAAACTAAAAAAGTCACACTGGAAAAGTGAGTAACAGACAAGAGCTGGGATTTTTCAGGATTTAACAGATTTTTCATAATGACCCTTCGAAGTTTCAGTCAGCACTCAAAGGATCGCATTCATGCTCTCAGGTCTGTAGTACTCACAGTAATAGGTACCTGTAGTAGTAGACCTGAGGAAATTAGTAAAAGAAATTGCACATGCCATTGCAGTTTATGGGGCTTATCCCACCACACTTTTCTACCACTACAACTCATGTACCTATAGGCAGGATCTACAACTTAGTCTCCAACTCAAACCTTACCAGTGAAGGTAGCTAATCGTTTTGGAACCCGCAACGAATTTAATCAGAAGAATATAGGAGGAGTTCGAAACATTTGGGATTGTCTTTGTTCAGCAGTGAGCGTCTTTTGGTTAAACCAATTCAAATCAAATATAAATTCGTTTATTCGTGGAACATAGGTAAATTACATATTACAGGTGTTAAAAATTACGTAGTCGGTATCACTATGCAACACTTAATTAGCATTTTTTTTGTTACAGTGACTGTCACAAACCAAAAACCTGCCTTTAGGCTGGAGTCGATGTCCAGGGTGGCCGCCATTCCCATCGTGGAGTCAGGAATCGGCGTTACGGAGAAGATTTATCACACGATAAAGGTAATAAAACGTAGGATACCGGAAAACACAGCGTTGTACATTCACCCATAAGATGGGCCGACGACCTCATAAAGGCGCTGGATGCAGGCCGCTACCAACAGTGGACGNCTGGAAAACGCAGCGTGGGACGTCCACCCACAAGGTGGACCGACGATCTGATAAAGGTAGCAGGAAGGCGCTGGATGCAGGCCGCTACCAACCGTGCGATGTGGAAGTCATTGGGGGAGGCCTATGTTCAGCAGTGTGGCTGAACGATGATGATGATGATGATACGCACTAGATGGATTTCTGTCTTTTTATCAGAGTTAGTGCGAAACCACTTCTGTTACGAGTTTGCTATTGTCCAGATGTACTCCGAAACCCGGCGCTTCGTGCTCCGCCGCGCGGACTCCGTGAAGCAGCTGGGGACAGCCGTGCTGGACTCCCGCGTGACCGCGGTGACCGCCACCGCGCTGGACCGCGCGCTCACCACCGCAGACAAGTACGTCGACAAGTACTTGCCGCCTGACAACCAGGACGCCAATGACGGTGAGTTTGTTACTCGTGTTGAAGGTTGACAATAGTGACGAGTTTCTTGTGCTGCTTCTTCTCAGCACTGGCCTGTTTATTGTCCCGAAGCAGTGGTAGGGTTAATACTGGGAAGTGTAAAAGTGCTTTTTTAAAGCTTACCTTTTTGGAAAAATAAATTAGTTTTTTTATGAAGACAATCTAGTACCACTCTGTGGTAAGACAGCCTGTTTCAGACTCAGAGGTCCCCGGGTTTTAATCCCAGTGGAGGAAAAAATTCTGCTTAGTTTCAAACTCAGAGGTCCCGGGTTTGATTCCCGGTGGGGGACAAAATCGGTTAGGTTTGTGGTAGGGGTAGGGTAATAGGGTTTGTTCCAAGTTCGCCTGGCTATCTATCAAAGTACTTTGTTGTAGGTGTTTCGTCAGTACCCCGACCTCATCATCTAACTACATACCTAAAATCTCAAACTTGTTCAATCTTGATCAAATTGACTATGTATTCATAGGATGTTTATAGGTGGNAGTGGACGTCCTGTGGCTGAAATGATGATGATGATGAAAGGTAAATATTAATAAACTAGCGGCCGCCCGCGACTTCGTACGCGTGGATCCCTTTTTACCCCCTTCATCTATCTTACGCGGTTTAGATTTTTTCGTACAAATGTTTTTTCCCGCTAACTCCCGTTCCCGTGGGAATTTTGCAATATCCTGTTGTAACTAAGCTTTAAGTTTACTAAGATAGCTGCATGCCAAATTTCAAGCGTCTAACTGAAGCGGTTTAGATTTTTCATACAAAAGGATTTTCCCGCTAATTCCCGTTCCCGTGGGAATTCCTAAGTATACTATAACCTGCCCAGGAGTTCAGCCATATTCAATATCGTTTATTACGTACGTCTAATTTTCTAATTGAAGTCCAACTAATTTTAAGTGCTTTTCATATTCCATTTTACTTAGTTGGATATGTTTTGACGCAAATACTTATAGTCCAGTACAATTAGATTTTAAATCGGAAATAATTCCTACAAAAGATTTTATTGCTTTAATGGCTTCATTGGTTGCCCATTAAGACTCTCCTAGGTTTTCGACTTCGACGGAGTTGTGCTTAAGTGGTGGGGGCCCCCTAAAGGGGCGCTTTTTCGGTTTTCCGGTTATACCGCGTAAAGGACTTACCCTATCGAAAAGTGGTCTTCCTGACGGTTGAAGGGCATTTAATCCTGTATTAAATAAGACCAAATTCATATGTTTTGGACAAACCGTTCTCGTGCAAATGTTCGGCAAAGTAGATAATATGTGTATTTTAACTATTGACCCTCTCCACGTCCAAAATCTTTAGTAGGAATTATTTCCGATTTAATGCATTTTTGTGTTTAATTCTACTGGCCTATTATTAATTTGCTGTAAATGTGTTAAGATTTTAATTTGAAAATAATATTTTGATTTTCGGCACATAAAATGATCAGCTCTTTGATGATACTCGTACCCTGACGTGGAACTTGTTTTTTAGGGTTCACTATGTAATTTGTTCCATTTTTTGTGTGAGTAAAATAAAGATTTATTATTTAATTTGAATTTCCCAGGAGTCCAACCCGATCTTTCGCTGGTACTTATCGATGGGCGAGTACTCGTTGACTAAGGGCGCGCAGTTGGCGCGGCCGGCCGTCATGCTGTTCGAGACGCCCATCCACCAGCTCGACAAGTTCCTCTGCAAGTCCCTGGACATCGTCGGCGAGCGGGTGCCCTCGATCTACCTGCCTCCGCAGGATGTGAGTATCTGATCAGTTTAGCCAAGTTTCAAAGCGATAGGCGAAGTGAAGAGGACGGACTGGCCAACTCGTGATCCGAGGAATATACAAGTTCGCTAATCCGCCGCCCAACTGTTGTGGTGAATTCACTCGTAAAACCTACATGCACATTTAGCTTACCACAGGGGTTAACGGGATTGTTAGTAAAAAATACTGTTTGTAAAAAGTTTAATGAGATGAGTAGGTATAGTCGCCACAGGTAAGTAACTACTCCCTTACTGACCACCACCTCTGCAACTAATTTTAAGCTTACTAAATAAGCTCCCAACATGTTTTATGTTGTGGCCAAACGGGAACTTTACTCGTAGCAGAAGGTAGGTAGGTAGGTGTACAAAGTCCATAAATCTTAGCTAATTAAAAATTTCTTGTTCAGGTTGGTTTCAGATAACGACTTGTTGTTTCGACTTGTTGAATATTTTGGTCAAAACAAAGTTATCACTATTTATTCACATAATAGATGCATAATCTTCTAGTAAAATCTACTGTTGGATAGGTTGTAACTACCTACTAATCTATAATTATAAACAATGAAAGGTCTGTAAGATCATTCTAATCTTTCCGTGTTTTCTCCACTTAGTTATCTTAATTTCCTATTAACTACTTAGATGATATCATCCTACGAGAAAATCTGATCTTAACTGCTTCAGATCATGAAATCTGTCACGCATTTAACGTAAGAAAGGCCAGATAAAAGATTCACTTCCGAATGGAAATATCGGGACTCAAGAGCTTGCACGATAAGACCACGCTGTTGTTACAAAAATAAACATTCACAATCTAACGTAAAACATGAATGACGCACTTTCATCAATGTCAGTACAATAAGAAATTAGTGATAAGTAAAAGTGGGTAGAAATGCGGAATTTTCGAGTTCATTTCAATGCGAAACGTATGAAATCGGAAATGCTTAAAAAAGTTTCACAACTTTTACTTAACATGCTTCCGAATCTAATCATGAAATTAATGATGTCTGCATCGATATTCGTAGTTATTGTTCGGGACGACCTCTTTTTCCAACTCGGCATTTTCTGTCAGCCGTTTGGAGTAGTGGTTTTAAAAAACGGACTACTGTGCCGCGAGATCCCGGGTTCGATTCCCGGCTAGGCAGAAATTGAAATGATGAATTTTAATTTCTGCGACGGGTCTGGGTACTACGTGACACGCACCCCGTGAAAAAATATGGTCCAGAGCAGAGGTCCAGAGTGTAGTCGTAGCGTAGAAAGAGCTATTTTTGTGGTAGTATACGCACTAGACGATAGATAGCCCGACGGATTAGCAAGCTGAAGTGGCAGTGGTCAGGGCACATGGTACGCAGAACTGACGGCCGATGGGGCAGCAAGGTTCTGGAATGGAGGCCGCGTACCGGAAAACGCAGCTTGGGACGTCCACCCACAAGGTGGACCGACGACCTGATAAAGGTAGCTGGAAGGCGCTGGATGCAGGCCGCTACCAACCGTGCGATGTGGAAGTCATTGGGGGAGGCCTATGTTCAGCAGTGGTCGTCCTGTGGCTGAAATGATGATGATGATGATACGCACTAGATGGATTTCTGTCTTTTTATCGGAGGTAGTGCGAAACCGCTTCTGTTACGAGTTTGCTATTGTCCAGATGTACTCCGAAACCCGGCGCTTCGTGCTCCGCCGCGCGGACTCCGTGAAGCAGCTGGGGACAGCCGTGCTGGATTCGCGCGTGACCGCGGTGACCGCCACCGCGCTGGACCGCGCGCTCACCACCGCAGACAAGTACGTCGACAAGTACCTGCCGCCTGACAACCAGGACGCCAATGACGGTGAGTCACTGCTGTTGAAGACAATGTTATCTAGGTCTAGTGGTAAGACACACCTGTTCCACAACGACCGGCTTATTTAAGGGCTTATACTCAGAGCCGTTAATTAAAAAAGAACCACCTCTTTCAGACTCAGAGGTCTTACTCTTTACCATTACCTGGGTTTTATTCCTAGTGGGGAAAAAAATCTGCTTAATTTCAAACCCAGAGGACCTGAGTTTTCCCCTGGGGGGATAAAATCTTCTCGGTTAGGTGGGTGGTAGGGCTAGGGTCTGTTCTAACTTCGCCTGGCTATCAGCTACCACCATATCTACATTGTTATCTTTCGACAGTCCTCATGATCTGCTTACTATCTAGAGTTTCAAACTTGTCAAGAATCATGAATAAATCGCTCATTTCCATGAATAAAGATTACATGAAATTGAACGAAAAGAAAATTATTGGACTACTTAATCATAGGTGGTCTAACGACTGTAATGTAAGTAGGTAACATAAACAAATAAATTTGCTGAAGTGCTAGTTAGCAGTGCAATAAATAAGCCGTTTCTCTGATAACCGTTTCTATGAGAGCCCCACACAGCGACGACTGACAGCTTATCGCCGCCTGACCTGCTGGATGCACCGAAAACGGAACTTTGGTTCGTGCAATAAATAAAACAAGGTCATGTGATAACTCGCAGCCCCGGCCGCTACTCCCGCGTCTGCGCTCCTGTCTAATTGCCAATTACCACACGACACTTCAAATGCAAGCCATAACTAACTATTGTTACGAGTCTCTATCACAAACCAATAAGATGCGTATTTTATCGACTGTGGCTACCTAATAAGAGGCTCTTAGAGTTCAACGTTATCTAGCGATGACAAATTAGCTATCAAGTCTGCAGGGCAAGACAGACTCCGTCCTCATTCGAATAACCGATAAATCGAGTACATCCGCCACCCATGACTCACTCGCACCTCTTAATATATCGATAACGTAAAATTTGTGATGGTCAGAGGTCGGTCTTGCGATCGAAATATTCCTTAATTAACGTGTTTACCAATACAAATAAGCTTATGTAAATTACATTACAGTACAGACATGTATAAAGTATTACATAATGTTTTACCTACTTAAGTACTGATAGGTGTTCGAAAAACCTAACGTTTATTTTTGCCCACCAGCTCAATGGACAGACGGCATTGTAAAGTTTACGGAACAGCAGTTGGCGAAGCTAGCGCATCATTGGCGATATAATTCAAGTAATTCTTTTCAAAATCTGGAATGATATTGCTCATCTCATCAACATCATCAGCTCATTTAGTTTCAACTGCAGGAGCACCGCCTCCAGCCTCCAACCAGATTTACCAAACTAAATTTACCAGAGGCAAAATTTGTCTAGGTAGTTGCCACACTCCTCACAAGACGAGGAGTGAGATGGAGGTCAGATTTTTGCTTTTAATAAACATACTATCTATTTCTTTTTCGAGTATGCTCCTATGCTATTCCGTCGAAACAACACGGCTAAAAATGTAACTTCATTTAATCTCATAATGACTTTTTATAAGCTCTTTCACACGTTGTAAGTTAGTTGTCATGTAATAAATAACCATACCTATATCACTGCTTCCGGACAGGCGGCAGTGATAAAAAGGTATCCAGTTCAAGAAACTCGAATCACCATTTTTTATTTATAGAGCTTAAGTAATAATTGTTACATTTATTAATCCACATGGCTATTTCTTTTTTTTCCGAGATAGGTAAGCAAGCAGGTATTATTTAGTCAACATAATTATAATTATTTTGTTGACGATAATCCACCTATCCGTTTATCTTCACGGGTCACAGATATCTTATTGAAAAACAGTATGCATTTTGTATTAAAAACACCTACGAGTACTTTAGGTAGTTACCTAACAAATAGCGTTCGTTTTATACAATGACATAATATACTTACTAGCGGCCGCCCGCGACTTCGTACGCGTGGATCCCGTTTTACCCCCTTAACTATGGGTAGAGTTTCGCAAAATCCTTTCTTAGCGGATGACTATGTCTATCTACTTAACATCTACCTGCATGCCAAATTTCAGCCTGATCCGTCTAGTGGTTTGGGCTGTGCGTTGATAGAGTCTCGTCAGTGACCTTTGAGTTATATAACATAGCAAAAAAAACTTGAATAAGTAGATTCCCTTTAACTGTTTATGCTTAGAAGTCAGCTCTCGTAAATTCCAGCTGCTGACTACATTAGCAGCGGACCTTAGTGTGTGACTTAATCTGACCCAGTACTTAGTGATCGTAGTGCCGGCTCACTGGCTTCACCAGTTACTGGTAATCATTGTCAAGCGGGAGCAGCGACTTGAAATTTGATTGGCAAGTAAGCAGCAGCTGTTTAATCCTTGCAAATGTCGACAGCTGTCTACTCTTTGTCGCGGTAGTCAGGGACTGACTTGTTCTGGCCTCACCCAATCAGTACCTAGTGATCATTGCGTGTGGGAGGGAGCAATTACAAGACCGTTGTAATCAATGTGTCTTGTTCTACTCCAGTGGCGATCGTGGTGACGGGCGCACGCCTTACTTGTACTGGCCTCACCCGATGGTGACTGGTGGTCATTGTCAAGCGGGAGAAGCAACTAGAAATTCAGTTTAAAAGTCCAACAGCTGACTACATTAGATCCTTCTAAATATCAGCTGCTGTCTGCTAGTAGTAGCGTGCGCGCCAGTCAAGGAGGGACTTGTTCTGGCCTCACCCAGTAGTGATCATTGTCAAGCGCGAGGAGTATCTAGAATCTCAGTTTGCAAGCAAGTAGCAGCTGATTAAGACCCTTGCAAATGTCAGCTGCTTCCTCCTTAGTTGTCGCAGGAGTGACTTGTTCTGACCTGATCCAGTAGTGATCTGCTCATTATACAGCGGGCCTTACTGTATGACTTGTTCTGTCCCAGTGGTGATCATAGTGACGGGCGCGGAGGGCCCTTGTAAGTTAGCTGCTTCCTCCTTAGTTATCGCAGGAGTCTTGTTATGGCCTCATCCAGCAGTGATCATTGTCGGGCGGGAGTAATCCTTGTCAATCCCAGCTGCTAAGTAACTGCTCATTATACAGAGGGCCTTACTGTGTGACTTGTTCTGGCCCAGTGGTGATCATAGTGACGGGCGTTGAGGGCCCTTGTATGTTAGCTGCTTCCTCCTTAGTTATCGCAGGAGTCTTGTTCTGGCCTTATCCAGTAGTGATCATTGTCGGGCGGGAGTAATCCTTGTCAATCCCAGCTGCTAAGTAAGTGATTTCTTCTGCCCAGTGGCGATCGTGGTAACGGGTACGGAGGGCGAGGCGGAGGTACTCAGAGAGTGACTTGTTCTGGCCTTATCCAATCAGTACCTGTGGGATCAGTACGTGTGGGAGGGAGCAATTACAAGACCGTTGTAATCAATGTGTCTTGTTCTGCTCCAGTGGCGATCGTGGTGACGGGCGCACGCCTTACTTGTACTGGCCTCACCCGATGGTGACTGGTGGTCATTGTCAAACGGGAGCAGCAACTATAAAATCAGTTTATAAGTCCAATTGACTTGTTAGTTGTCGCGGTAGTCAGAAAACGACTTGTTCTGGCAACTACCTGTATACGAATAGAAGCTTAGCTGCCATGCGATTAAGACCTGTCATTTGTCAATCACAGCTGCTGACTACTATATCAGAGGGCCTTACTGTATGATTTCTTCCGGCCCAGTGGCGATCGTGGTAACTGGCGCGGAGAGCTCGGAGGGCGAAGCGGAGGGCAAACAGCAGTTTACTACAATCAGCCCTTTTACCTATAAATAGGGAGTGTCTCAACTAGACAGTGGTGATCATTCTTTGGGTGGGAGTAGTAATAAGTAAAAGTTGTAAAGGACCTACTGACTACTTATGTTATGCATTAGCAGCGGCATTATTAGAGTGCTTGTTCTGGCCCCACCAAGTGGTGATCCAATCCGAATCCACCAAGACATTTTTGCGCGAATCCACATGCACAATGTCGTTCACGCATATGTCCTGTCCTGATCAGGTGAGTGACTTTTTCTGTTCTTATCCAGTGGCGATTGTGGTGACGGGCGCGGAGGGCTCGGANCACAAGTTCTGATAACTTGTACTGGCCTCACCCGATGGTGACTGGTGGTCATTGTCAAGCGGGAGCAGCAACTAGAAACTCAGTTTAAAAGTCCAACAGCTGACTACATTAGATCCTTCTAAACATCAGCTGCTGTCTGCTAGTAGTTGCGTGCGCGCCAGTCAAGGAGGGACTTGTTCTGGCCTCACCCAGCAGTGATCATTGTCAAGCGCGAGGAGTATCTAGAATCTCAGTTTGCGAGCAAGTAGCAGCTGATTAAGACCCTTGCAAATGTCATCTGCTTCCTCCTTAGTTATTGCAGGAGTTTTGTTCTGGCCTCATCCAGTAGTGATCATTGTCGGGCGGGAGTAATCCTTGCCAATCTCAGCTGCTAAGTAACTGCTGATTATACTGCGAGTCTTAAGTACTGTATGAGTTTTTGACTTGACCCAGTGGCGACCGTAGTGACGGGTACGGAGGGTGAAGCGGAGGTAGTCAGGGAGTGACTTGTTCTGGCCTTACCCAATCAGTACCTAGTGATCATAACGTGTGGGAGGGAGCAATTACAAGACCCTCGTAATTTTTTTGGCCCAGTGGCGATCGTGGTGACGGGCGCGGAAGGCTCGGAGGGCGAGGCGGAAGGCGGACGCGCGTGCGCGGCGGCGGCGGTGCAGCACGGCGCGCGCCTGCGCAGGAAGCTGCAGCGCCGGCTCACGCGCCAGGCGCTGGCCGAGGCCAAGGCCATCAAGGAGCAGATACACGTGCTCGTCTATGTTGCTGAGCTGGTAAGTCACGTAATTAATTAATGCCAAAAATGTTGTCGTGACTTGAGTGGCTACCATGAGCCGGAAGACGTAGCGTGGGCAGGCCTCCCACTAAGTGGACCGACGATCTGGTAAAGGTCGCGGGAGGTGCCTGGATGCGAGCGGCGCAGAACTGGTCTTTGTGGAAATCCTTGGGGGAGGCCTTTGTCCAGCAGTTGACGTCTTTCGTCTGAAACAAACGTACGAACGAAAAATGTAGTAGATACTGCAGTTCCCATTTCCGGTCATGTTGTCTCGTTCTATCGCAAAGAATCGGCATTTGATGAGAGCGAGAGAAAACATGAAAATGGGTATTTGGAACTGTGGCCCACTATACACTGATTCCTAGACCTGCATCTAAGTAAATGTTGGATAACAAACAATCCTAGATCCAAATGTTGGCAAATCATATACTTATGTAGAAACTGTGCTTATTTCACACTTAAAAATCTAGTCACAAGAACCAAACATTTATGCAGAGGTTCTTAAAGTTGGTCGAGATCAACTTGAAAACTTTATGAGAACAAATATTTCCTTGCCTATTCTTACGATGACTCAAACAATGGCAGTCTTTTGTCTGTCGCCATTGCTTCTCTACCAATAAATTCTCCAGGTGGCAACCGACCCAGCCCTTGCATGGAAGAAGGCCAAAGAGCTGTACTCGTCGCTGAGCCAGCCCGAGCCGGAGAACCAGGCCCGACCTGAAACTGTTGAGGAGATGCTGGTGCTGCTGTCCCGCGAGACCGCGCGCAAGCTCGTGCACCTCGTCAACTACACGCACACTGACTTGCCCAGGTGAGGAAATTAACGGATAGGTATAAAAGCATTAAAAGCTTTTTTCTCTAGATAGGTATAAGAATAAGAATGTCTTTGTTCAGCACAATTATTATTTAAGGTAGATATACAAAGCAAGAGTAAGTAAACATAAAAAATAAATAAAAACATATGCTGAATAGGCGCCCGCTCAGCAAAAATCGCGACATGACACAAACGTCATGCCGAGACGCTGGTTTTCAGCGGGAACCAATGCGTGATGAGGGTTGCGCGCCCTTCTGGTCGAGACCCGATTCTGAATTAGAAGTGTTCTTTATGGGACTATTCCTTAACGAGAGATATCTCGTTCTCACTGTGCACTGCAGTAAAAACCCAACCAGTGAATAAGTTTTAAAACAAATAAATAGATACGACAGAAGAAGCATCTTTCAACTTACTTATGCGGTTTACAGGGACTTTATTAACAGGGCTAGATTAAATAATCCAAAACATTATTTTTGTCTCAGGAATGTGCGCCAAGGCCTGTCGATGATCACGAGGCACCTGTCGTCCGCCGCCGACGCGCTGCTCAAGGTAGTGACCAGGCGCGCCGCCGTCGCCCCCGCGCTCCTGCACCGCGCCTTCGCCCTGCATCTATCCATCATCGCACCCCAGCCCAGTCAGTCGCCCCTCATTCCTCCACGCCATTTACATGCTTAGGGTTTTAGATCCGCGCCTTAGTACCTACCTTCCTACAGCATCTTTAACGCCTTCGTGACTTTTAAGCTCCTGCACCGTGCCTACGCCCTTCATCTATCCATCATCGCACCCCAGCCCAGTCAGTCGCCCCTCATTCCTCCACGCCATTTACATGCTTAGAGTTTAGATCCGCGCCTTAGCACCTACCTTCCTACAGCATCTTTAACGCCTTCGTGACTTTTAAGCTCCTGCACCGTGCCTACGCCCTGCATCTATCCATCATCGCACCCCAGCCCAGTCAGTCGCCCCTCATTCCTCCACGCCATTTACATGCTTAGGGTTTAGATCCGCGCCTTAGAACCTACCTTCCAACAGTATCTGTGATGCGACCGCGGCTTTCAAGCTCCTGCACCGTGCCTACGCCCTGCATCTATCCATCATCGCACCCCAGCCCAGTCAGTCGCCCCTCATTCCTCCACGCCATTTACATGCTTAGGGTTTAGATTCGCGCCTTAGAACCTACCTTCCAACAGTATCTTAGTACCCATCCTACTGTAGTCCTCGGCTGTCATGATCCTGCATCGCGCCTTCGCCCTGCATCTATCCATCATCGCACCCCAGCCCAGTCAGTCGCCCCTCATTCCTCCACGCCATTACATGCTTAGGCTTTAGTAGATCCGCTCCTTAGAACCTATTCTACTGCAAATTATGGCGCGGTCTCAGCTGTCGCACTCCTACACCACGCCTTCGCCCTGCATCTATCCATCATCGCACCCCAGCCCAGTCAGTCGCCCTTCATTCCTCCACGTCATTTAGGTACATGCTTAGACTTTAGTAGATCCGCTCCTTAGAACTTTTTTTTTATCCACAACGAGGAAGCTCTTGGCCTGTATCTCACCTGATGGTAAGTGACGATCAGGCCGATGCGAGCTTCACCCGGAATCCTCAACCGCGGAGGAACTGGCTATCTTACCTCTAACTGCCGGAACACAATGATGCTGTTAACATTGTTGTTATGGCGACAGACTTAGATAAGATGGTGGTAGCTAGCCAGGCGGACTTAGAACAAGTCCTACCACCAACCAAACCGAACAGAAAAAACTCCCCACTGGGAATCGAACCCGGGACCTCTGCGTCTGAAGCAGGTGGTCTTACCACTAGACCACAGAGGCGGTTATTCTACTGCAACGGTCTCAGCTGTCGCGCTCCTGCACCACGCCTTCACCCTGCATCTATCCATCATCGCACCTCAGCCCAGTCAGTCGCCCCTCATTCCTCCACGCCATTTACATGCTTAGGCTTTAGTTGACGCGATCAATCCGGCATCCATTTACTAGTTACTTACTTTAACTATTCCTTTATGTATTCCATAGCATTGCAAAACCATTGAGACTGTTCATACCTTTACCTTTCATACACCCCATCACTATTAGCTCTCATGGACCATTCTACCTAATAATCCTTTCATGTCAATGAACCCACATTCCATGACATCAGATAATTAGAGAAGAAAAAACAAAAAGAAATACGAAGCTAACTCAAGTATCAATGATGATTACTGGTCAAGGCATTACCATCACGTTAATCTCATTGATGAATCAAATCTCAATTCTGTCGGCTCTACCCTTCTCTCTTACTCACGTCCATCACTCATATAAAGGTTGAGTGAGAGATAAGGATAGAGCTAGAGCTGGAGTAGACCTGTAAGCTTCAACAAATGCTATTACGCAGACGGTGCCGGTGGAGGCGGCGCTGACTGAGATGCGCGGCTGGCGCTCCCGCCTGGCGGCGCTGCTGCAGCAGCTCAAGCAAACCTCGCACTCATATTTGGTAAGTATTACTACTAATGTACAGGCGACAGCACACCAAGCTATACATATTTGTGGAAAAATCGTCCCTATTACCACTACATAAGATGCTACAGTATTTAGCTTGATATGCCGTCGTCTGTACAAATCGTAGGAGACAACTTAGCACTTCGATGTAGACAGTACGATCGGTTTTGGGATGCTCAGACGTCTTGGAGCCTAATCAACTTCTGCTTGTTGAAAAGTAGACCACACCGATGTGAGACTTCATAGTATTGATGATGAAGGCCACCTGCCATAAGCGTCAGCTGCATGCGTTTTAAAGTAATTAGGTAAGTACTTATCATAGTTTAAAAGCTATCAAGTCGTGTTACAAGCATTTACTATCGAGTTTGAGACTATATAGATACTGCTGATTTTGAAAGTCAGGGCCACATCGCTCACTTTATAAATAACCTAATGTTAATCGTTGCAGTTAAGATCTTCAATTAACTTTTTTTAAATGTCGGTGGTCCTAGGATATTTCTTTACCTTGCGTCTATGACAATTGGTATTTCTGAAGCAATATCATTTGAATTATTTTGTTCAAGGAACACCTCGCCGTATTTCTGGCAGGCAACGAGGAGCGGGAGAAGATCGCCCCGCGCTCCACGTACGAGGCGCGCGACGACCTCGCCGCCATTAATGGAGTCAATTGATATATTTAATTACTATTATTAAGCCACTGTCGACGGATCCAGGTTCTTTTTTCTAACCGTCATTCGCATCTTTAGGCGTTTATCATTACAAGTAAAGACTGTTTTAACGCGCTAATATTTCGAGCAATCAGTTTTTATCAAGATAATTGACATTCTTAAAAAAACTCGCTTGTTTTGATTTCAATAACTTATCTTCACTGATTACAGTGGTTTTGGCCGACGAATTAATTTATTTATAGAGTTGTTATTGAATCACGATTGCAGATCCTGGATTCGTATTTTTGTTATTTGAACAAGTTACACAATATCATTAAAGTGACATCACTGTAGCGCCTAAGAATGGATTTTTATAAAAAGTAGATTCAACCGAGGACATAAAATAGTCCCTTGTCGCACTCCCTATTCGTTTATTTGGAAGAAAATCTCTGCCTTAAAGTTTGAGTGATAAATTATTATTTTTCAGGTTATTTATTTATATTATTTTAAAATGTAAAAATATAAGAAGCCCATACATGCAATAATACCTATAAATAAAAGTGAAATCATTCACAAACGCAACTTCCTGTTCAATAAATTAATATTTGGGTCAAATTATATAATTACATCTATATTAATTTAAGTACTTATTATAACTATAATCAACTAAAATTAAATTAAATACGTTAGCTGGTAGTAGTGAGGCTAGAATTTGTAATTGTTTTTTACATCGATTGTTAGTTGATATTATCATGTTTTAATTTAAGACTGTAGGGGTTATCATGTTTTAAGGCCTTAAAATAGCACTAACCCATGCCTGAATTAAATGTAATTATTTTATAGAATTGTTCTTTTATTTATTGTTTCGAATTTTTGTGCCAAACAGTGCACAACGAAAGCTTATGCCACAGGATTGGAACACATTGGAGCCTTTGCCGTTAGAATAATAGACTAGGACTTATNTGCCCGTTTTCACCATCAATCCCTAATTTTTAAGTGACCCCTATGTAAACAAAATTCCTGTTATGTGTTACCATAGATTCACTTAAAAATTAGGGATTGATGGTGGAAACGGGTATAGGACTTATTTTTTTAATTCAGCACTAGGTACTGACATTCAGAAAGACTCAACACAACTCAACATGTCAGCAGTTTGACATTTTTAAACTAAATCAATAGTTTTTAAAATTATCTTGTAGTAAGAGAAAATATAATCAGTCCACAATGAGTACCAGTAGTACCACACACATTTTAGAAGAAAAACCTAAGGATACTTATTACGTACGTAGCAGTTTTTAATAAGTCAAAGGTCCATAGCTCTTAGCATCCTAGCGTTTAGGATAAGGTCCAAAATAGAAAGCACTTATTGCGGGAATAATGTAAGCTTTGATTTATAAAAACCAACAGGAACCACTTGTTCACATTACCATCGTTTCGTAACACCGTAGCTATCTGAATCGGTCAAAAGTGGCTCGTGTCTAGGCAACTCTGTACCCTGAGCACGAATAACTTACGCAATCGTTTTATTACATACTTTACTTATTCTGCAACGTCACCGCCTGTTCTGGTTTTTGTACAAAAAAAGAAATTACGATACTGTAATGGGAACGATATTTGTGCTCCGGGTGCAATTCTCCATACAGATTAAAGGGTATGTTTCTCCAGCTTTAAAATTCTTTAGTCTTAAACCTACAGTCGTATTCACATTTTAGGCAGATATAAACGACGTTGAAGACTTGCCTCGGCGAAGGTGGAGCATTGGCGACGACTGGCGAGCGAGCACCACTCTGTGGTTGCTGGTGCTGGCCCTGCTCCTGTGGCTGGCTACATACTTGATGACGGTGCTGGTGGCAGTGTACTTTGACTGCGGCGTGCGCTCCGTCGTCAGCCTGACCACGCTGCTTGGGTGGAACAATGGCACTTCCATAGTCTCCCTTGATGAAAATACTAAGTTTATCGTGACGTATTAATTGTGTTATGTACCTGTTATTAAATTACCTAACAAACAAGATATTCTACAAGTTATGTTTTTTTATATTGATCCAGCAAAAAATCTTCTAAACATATTAAACGGAGTATGTATATGAGTATTTCGGATACATCGAGGTATGAGTAATGAAGAAAAATGATGTCGCTCTTTGAACCATCTTGTATACCGTCCAGTCCATTTTTTAATTTTTGAGACGTCCAATTGAAATCTTTGCCTCTTTGTTTTTAAAAAGTAAACAGTCAATTTGTCTATGGTTTGACAGATGATGACAACAAGGTCGTCTATAGTCTATGGTTAGTACTAGTGATGANATCTCATGATAAAATTCTATATCCTAACACTGTGTGCCTACCATGAGTTTACGTTAGGTGTGCTCGCTAGCGACTGCGTAAAAAAATGACATTTAAATGTATGACATATTGTGCAGCGCCCCTAGCGGCTACTTTCAAGAAATGAAATCTTCATATAATTTTTTGACGTATTCGCTAGCGAGCTCACCTAACGTAAACTCATGGTAGGCACACTGAGCACGAATAACTTACGCAATCGTTTTACATACTTTACTTATTCTGTAGCGTCACCGCCTGTTCTGGTTTATATACAAAAAAAGAAATTACGATACTGCAATGGGAACGATATTTATTTGTGCTCCGGGTGCAATTCTCCATACAGATTAAAGGGTATGTTTCTCCAGCTTTAAAATTCTTTAGTCTTAAACCTACAGTCGTATTCACATTTTAGGAAGATCATTGTTGTGCCGTTCACTCGATCGGACGTGTCAGCGCTATGAAAATAAATATTTAATTTAACTATTCACTAGCAAAATCGCGACCTACTTTATCGAAACTCGGAAGTGTTTTATCTGTGTCATTAATTTCTAATTGAATACTGAACTTATAATGATTTGTGTATAGACTTGNTTTATTTATTTATTTATAAACGACGTTGAAGACTTGCCTCGGCGAAGGTGGAGCATAGGCGACGACTGGCGAGCGAGCACCACTCTGTGGTTGCTGGTGCTGGCCCTGCTCCTGTGGCTGGCTACATACTTGATGACGGTGCTGGTGGCAGTGTACTTTGACTGCGGCGTGCGCTCCGTCGTCAGCCTGACCACGCTGCTTGGGTGGAACAATGGCACCTCCATAGTCTCCCTTGATGAAAATACTAAGTTTATCGTGACGTATTAATTGTGTTATGTATCTGTTATTAAATTACCTAACAAACAAGATATTCTACAAGTTATGTTTTTTAAATTGATCCAGCAAAAAATCTTCTAAACATATTAAACGGAGTATGTATGAGTATTTCGTATACATCGAGGTATGAGTAATAAAGAAGAAATGATGTCGCTTTTTGAACCATCTTGTATAATACCGTCCAGTCCATTTTTAAATTTTTGAGACGTCCAATTGAAATCTTTGCCTCTTTGTTTTTAAAAAGTAAACTGTCAATTTGTCTATGGTTTGACAGATGATGACAACAAGGTCGTCTATAGTCTATGGTTAGTACTAGTGATGATAGTGGTCTATTTTTAGTAACCGAATAATTATAGAATCGAGTCAGCAGAACTCGAGACGACAACCAGTTAAGAAGATTCCAGTGGGTCTGCTGGACAAGAGGCATTTTTTGATCGATCGAAAATAGATTCCGTTGAAACTTCATACAAAAAAACACGCTTTTGTTCACACGCTGAGTTTGTTCCGGCGTTTCTTCTCAGCACTTGCCATATGTTTGTCTCGAAGCGCTGGTAGGGCCCAAAAGATAAGGAGACATGTAAATTGCCCCATAAGGGCTACCTTTTTCTTTTTTTATTATTTTCTATTGACGTTCATAAGTGCCACTTGTGGTCTAAACTGAATAAATATTTTTGATTTTGATTTGATTTTTGATTTTGATTTTAAAAAGCCAAAAATAAACTGTAAACAAACAATTTTTGTTTTTTTTATCGATTCATCAATATTCGATATATGTACTCGAATCATCCTGACACGGCACATCACTAGTAATTAGTGATGGGCCAACTCGGGAAAAACAAAACCCGATTTAACCCGAGTTAAAGTCCACGTAACTCGGGTTGAACTCGAGTTACGTAACTCGAGTTGACTGGATGGACAAGTAAGTTTTTTACTTATTTTTACCAGTTTATTCCCTCAGATTCGTATTAACATTTAAAAATTATCTTTTATAATGTATTGGGAGAATCATACTAACTAAAGTAAGAAAGAAAAAAATATTGTTTGAAATATAATAATTTATTCATGGATTTTTGGCTTGAATTTTAATTTTAAAAAATATTTATATTTATTATCACTTGGCATTTTTCAAAAACAGAACATAAAACACGAAAATCTACAACAATAACCGGCAGTTTAAAGTTAACTTCAAATTAACATAGTCTCAACACTCAAATGATCGGCAATCTTCGGTCCATGTCGGATCCATTCGGTTTACGAGTCAGAGAGCATTTAACTCGAGTGGGTTCGAGTTACGCCCAACTCGAGTTAACGCGAGTTACTTACTCGAGTTGACCATCACTACTAGTAATACACAATCAATTTCCCTGTGGTGTGTCTGTAAAGCTTGATGACAATAAATCTTTAATTTTCTATTTTAATAAACTTTAAGTAACTGGTGACATGTCACACATTGCCAGTAGTTTAATTTGTGTTCTAAAATTGTGAACGCTGTAAGGCAAAATGCCGTCCATCGATGTGATGGGTCCTCCGGGGCAGGCGATGGACGTGGGAGCCCTGCCCGAGGAGCCCCAGGCGCCGCCGCCCCCTGTTATTGGCATCATTTATCCGCCCCCTGAAGTCAGGAGTATCCTTTATCAATTACTTTTTCAAGTGAACGTATATTGGTAAATATTTGCTAACATAACCTATACGATGTTGTTGTTTGTGTAGGTGCACGACTGTTACCTACTGAAGTTCCAATTTATTTAGCAAAAGTCAAGTATAATAGGTACTTGTTAAGGCTTCTAATGTAGTGGCCACATCTAATGAGTTAATGCTTTACATAGATGCATACATGATTGGTTTACCATGTTAATATTGTCTTGAACATTGGGCCTAAACTATTGACTTTCTATTGTATTAATGAATGTTATAGTGCGAAATACCTACTATTTTTTTAAAATGTATTGAAGTTTCTTCTTAAGTTTCTTCAAGGTTTAATTAGATGTGTTCACGCTCCACAGTTGTAATGTAACTTAGTACTAATAAAATTAACTGATATTTTGTACATAATGTACCTAACTGTAGACCATACAAAAACCAAAGATTATGTATGTATTACTTAAGATTGAAGCAAATAAATATATGTATTTATTTCATGGTAAAAAAAGCCAAATGATATGAAATGATCTTGAAGATTTACACTAATTCCAACTTTCAGCTCCAAAGAATTTCTTTAACCTCCATGTATAGATATTGTTGACAAGACTGCCAGCTTCGTAGCTCGTAACGGTCCAGAGTTCGAAGCGCGCATCCGGCAAAATGAACTTGGCAATCCCAAGTTCAACTTCTTGAACTCCGGAGACCCCTACCATGCGTACTACCAGCATAAGGTCAAGGAGATCAGAGAAGGAAAAAGTAAGTGTTTTTAAAACATTTATTTAAAGCAATTTTAAAAAACAAACATCACTAATTCTTAGTACTATTGATTGATACTGGATACGAGGGCTGCACTAAAAGTATCGGGAATGGAATATTTCCACTGTTCCAGTCATATTAAAATCTATTTAATTGCAAAGTCCAGGGTTTTAAAAATCGTATACCATTTATTTATTTAAAAAAAGATTCTCGGTCGTATCACAAGGTCTTGTCAAACTTGTTTAGTCGTTGAGAAAATGGAATTGACTCGAGAAAATTCAAGAGCGATGATTTATTATGACTTTTGAAGTGGTTTAACACAAAAACAGTGTGTTGACCGGATGATTTCTGCATTTGGTAATGAAGCCCCATCCAAAACCACAATTTATCGCTAGTTTCCTGAATTTCAACGTGGACGTGTCAAGCTCAGTGATGATCCCCGTCAAGGTCGTCCAAAAACTGCAGTCACCTAAGAAAACGTTGATGCTGTGCGTAAGCTGATTGAAGAAGATCGACATGTGATATACCGCGAAATTCAGGCAACTTTAGACATTGGCATGAGTCAAATACAAATAATCTTGCATGAACAATTAGGTGTAAAAAAGTTGTTTTCCCGATGGATACCGCATTCGCTCTGTGAAGAGCAAAAAGCNCATCATAATATTGCATGGTCATCCAAATCACAGGTGTTTGCGAAATTTCAGCTTAATCGGTTGCCTGGAAGTGGGTCTTAATTCAGCTTGCAAGATTCCACCCATACAAATATGAGCCAGTCACTGTAATATGACGTCACGCGCATAAAATGGCGGGCCGGCCGCCGCCCGCACTTTTAAAATTCAATATCTTGGAAACTAATTGACGTATCGAAATAATTCTTTCACATGTATTTTTTATTTTTAACAGAGAATACAGAAAGCTAAAAAACAAAATTAGTGAACATTCTTCATTTTTGATTTTTTTTATCGATTCGTCAATATTCGATATATGTACTCGAATTATCCTGACACGGCACATCACTAGTAATACACAATCAATGAATCAATTTCCCTGTAGTGTGTCTGTACTTGATGACTATAAATCTTAAATTTTCTATTTTAATAAACTTTAAGTAACTGGTGACATGTCACACATTGCCAGTAGTTTAATTTGTGTTCTAAAATTGTGAACGCTGTAAGGCAAAATGCCGTCAATCGATGTGATGGGTCCTCCGGGGCAGGCGATGGACGTGGGAGCCCTGCCCGAGGAGCCCCAGGCGCCGCCGCCCCCTGTTATTGGCATCATTTATCCACCCCCTGAAGTCAGGAGTATCCTTTATCAATTACTTTTTCAAACAGGCATACTAATGGTAAATATTCGCTAACATAACCTATACGATGTTGTTGTTTGTGTAGGTGCACTGTGACCTACTGATTCCAATTTATTTAGCAAAAGTCAAGTGTAATA